GACAAGCACTGTGGCATTTGGACAAGAACAAACTGGGAGGAGGGTAGAGAGAATAGTGCAACAATGAATGAGTGGAAACCCAAAATCTCTGTAAATGTTTATGAAAATTAATAAAATATAATTATAGAAAGAAAAAGAAAATAATAATAACATTTAAAACACTCAAGGAAGATTTATAATGGAATTGACATTGCAATGAACTTGAGACAATAAATAGTATTGTATCTGCAAAAGAGTTGATGAAGAATATTAAGAGTGTTGGAAATCCCGTCTTCCACTCAGCCCTTTAAACTTTACTTTCTTTAGCTCTAATATATTTTCCTCATAGGAAGATAGTTATCATTTTGTTTGGATTTTTATCTTTTAATTATTGATATTTTACCTTATGATTGATTGTCAGAGAGATTATGCTAGAAGTTGTCTGCTTGAAGAGAATTTGTCATCTCTGCTATTTTTTGGTTTTACACTGCACTTCTTGGTGAATTATTATTGTCTTTTAGCTACAGTTTCTGTGCCAAAATTTTTTAAATCATTTGACTGTTAACTTACATTTTATTTAGATAAAACAAGACCTAAAACTAATAAATCTTGACTGGATGGCATGTGAACCATTTTGGTTGACATTGTCCAACACTTTGTCTTTAGATGCCAGGCACTGGAAGGGAGTCATTTTAAAGTATAGTGTACAGTGATAACAGTGCCTTTTTTACTTCTTGGAATTTGGTTTAAGGAAAATGATACTGTAAAAAATAAAACTTTATAACAAAATTACATAGTTCAAAGATTCATAAGCATGACAAGAGAATACATGTACCTCATAATCACCTTAGTTCTGTTATATGTAACAACAATGTGAGATTAAGTTTAAATGAATGATGATGATGAGATTATGTTAATGTCTTTTATCTAATTGAATGATTCCAAAGATACTTTGTTAATTAGAGTGGAAAACCCAGAAACTAGCAAAATTTTATTTTATGTTGCTTTTTCATAATTAACTTCTAATGTATAACTTTTATATTTTAATATTGACAGCTTCTTCCCTGTGATTCTTTAGAAGCAGGTGGGATTGAAAGGCTTAAGCGAGAAAGAAATGATGCCATGGAAGAAGTGAAAACACTTAAGGTAATCTCCAGTTTGTTGTTGTTACTGCGTACCCTTGAGTCACAACTGCTTCCTAACTCCAGCAGTTTTCGGAGGAAGTGAATTGCACAGGAGGAGATTGCCCCTTTTTCTCCTGTGGAGCAACCGGTGGATTCAAATGGAGGGCTTTTGGATTGTCAGCACAACTCCTTACAACTCCAGCAGAGCCTCTGATTTCCTCTATAGCTCCTGTATATTTTCTTGAAAAGTGGGGAGATGAAGAAAATGGTACTATATTAAATTGTAAAGGTAAAACAGAATGGGAATAACTAGGGTCCTCTAGCAGCCTAGTGGGTAAGGGGTTGTACTGCCAACACAAAGGCAGGTCGTTCAAAGTCAACAGCTGCTCAAAGGGAAAGCAAGCCTCCTCCTGTAAATGTACAGTCTCTGAAAACCCACCAGAATGTCAGCTATGAATCGATTCTAACTCAACGGCATTGAGTTTGGTTTTTGGTGTATTTTTTGTGTTGTTGTTTTAATTAAAGAATACTAAGGTCAAATAAATAAAATTCCATTATCTTTTCAAATGGCCTTTAAAATTTATTTTTTTAAATTCAGTCACTCATTTATATTTCTTAGTATCTTTGTAAGATTTAGCCTGAAACAATTGCTTCCCTGTTCCCTGGCTCTGGCCACTTGTCACTTCTTTTGTTTTTGTTTTCACACTGATGACAAGCGCAGCATTGAATGAGGAGCCAGCCAAGCAAGGGGTGGCAATTCGGGCTCCCTGAGGTTGGCTGGGAAATATATTTTCACCCATGTTCATAGTCATGCTTTAAAAGATACCTAGTTGAGTGGGCATAAAATATATAATTAAATCACTGGGGTTCATGCAAGGAAGAAATAGACAAATCCCAGATAGAATATCTTGGTTCTCTTTCATTCTACCTTTAGTGAAATATTGAACTTAAATAGTATCTTACTTTTTATTAAAGAAATATTATTTTCTAAATCATTGAATGGAAGCAATGTGACCCAAAGATTTGCCATTATTTATCCAGAAATATTTCTTTTAAAATATTTCAATTCTTCTTCTAAGTAACTAAAATTTTATTGTTGAACTATTTCGTTTTTATTAAGAACTGTAGTTAAAACTAAATTTTTATTTAGTTAATAAAAACTAATAGTTGTTTTAATTAAATCTTTGTACCCCTTTTCCTTCCAAAACCATAAATATCTATATTATCATAGTTTTCTGTGGGAAACTATTGTTAACAAAATCTTGTTTATCCTTTTAAATAATATCTTTGCATAACAAATCACATTAAATAAATATGTAATGTGTATAAATGTTAACTTTCAGGAATCGTTTCATATATTGAACATCTTTGTACAGCTTGCTTTGTTTTTCCTATTTTGTTACTGTTACACTTTAGATGACCTAGTAGTTTAGCTATACTTGTCTACAGAGTTACACATTTTCCTATTGGTTGTCCTATACAGATAATGGCTTTACCTTAGGTTACTTATCAGTTCTTTATTAATTAGTATTTATATTATGTCTAGTTTTCTGTTAATAGTTCTTTCATTAACAGCTATATAAATGAATCTTTGTGCATATGTAGATCCAAAGAATAAAGTTCTAAGTGTAGAATTGTTTCATCAAAGGATATGGGCACATAGAATTTTTACATATTATAAAAATTCCTTTCAGAAGATTTTATCAAATCACTTTCCTTCCAAATATATATATACACACACACACACATTCTATTACTACATGTATATATTATATCCTTTGTATAACTTGAAATCATTAACTTCCTACATTTTTGGGGAGAGCAGTTAGAAATTTAGATGGGAAATGAAAATTTTGTTTAAAAATAAGTTTAAAGTAATTTTTCATACCTTCTTTCTTCTTATATTTATTACATAGGTAATATCACCGCTAAAGTAATTTGTTTGCTTGTAAGCCGCCATTAAATCTCATGATTCTTCAGGATTTTCAGAAGTTCTCCGATTTTTCTTATTTTCTAAAAGATTATCATTGTTAAATGCAGTCATATATTTCAGCTGTTTGATTTGAATATCAGTATTAATTACTGTAATTTTAATTTAAAGCTATATATGACACATAGATAAAACATTTAAACAGGACTTCCTTTCAGAGTGATCAGTTAATCAAGGATTCATATTTAAAGTTCATGAAGTATAACTGAACATATTCTAATATGTCAAGCCTGAAATAGTAGATAAAATATATTTTTCCACCTTGCAATGATCTTTACTCAAAGCCTTTCTGCTGCCTGAAAACCATGCTATTAGGAGGAACCAGTCCCTGGAGAAGGACATCATGCTTGAAAAAGTGGAAAGTCAGAGAAAGAGAGGGGGACCTTCAATGAGATGGATTGGCATAGTAACTGCAAAGATAGGTTTAAGCCCAGCAGAGACTATAAGGCTGGAGAAGGGTCACACAGGGTTCTGTTTGATTGTCATGGGGTCTCCATGCAACAGAATCTGACAAAAATATTTTTTAAAAAACCAAAAAACCCTAGTCTTCAAAGCAATAAGTGTTTTCTTCAAGATAATGTCTATATATTTTTTTTTTTGCTACTTAATTTGCAACAAACAAATAACAGATTAGGGAATGAAGTTCATAGACTATGTCAATGATTTCTTAGAACTTTTCATTATCCTTTGGCATCACTCTGTGTGTGATTTAAGTGCAGATAAAAATGAAACAAAAATAATTTGTTGCCAATGACTAATTGTCCTTCTGCAAAACAGTTTTTCAAAGCACTGTGAATTTTATTTCATTTCAAATCTTTTGCAGAGTGCACTTCGCTGCTTCTTTGCAAAGGTAAATGAAAAGAAAGATCGCTCCCTCCATACACTTGCAAAAAACTGGGACACCAGCAGTCAAGGTGACTGCCAGAGCATAAAAGCAAGAAAGCCACCAGTCACTTGGCTCCTAATCTGTGGCGTATTCCTTAAATTGTGGTGCCATATTCATCTTCCTATACCCTAATTTTCCCTCATAGAAGAGTGAGCTGAAAAATACCAGAAATCAGATTGCTTCTCATAAACTATTGCATGACTGATGTGAATCTTTACCACTTCATGTTCAGCAATTTCCATACACAATTGCGTAGTAAAGTTATTGTGTAGTGTGGAGTCAGATCCAACTCAGAGGTGACCCTCCGGCATGTTTCCAGAGGCTATAAACTGCATGGAAGGAGACTGCCCACCTCGCCCATGGAGCAGCTGGTGCATTCAAACCATGCATCTTTGTGTTGGTAGCTTATAAATTGTTGTTGATATTTCTAATTTGTTCAGTAAAAATGTTTTTATTAATTATATATTTAACAAAATTGAACATTTCAGAATAAAAGCCTAAGTTTGAGCTCAGAGATGATATTTTATTTGAAAGCATAAGATTTCCTCTAATACCTACTGTTTTGTAATTTAGCTGTACCAGTTTTGTCTTCTTTTTATCCTTTATCTTCCAAGGGCATGCTAATATTAAACTAGAAAATCCATAATCATCTCAGTCTCATAAAAACTTGAGTTTCCGAGATATTTTTGAAGTGTCTAATTAAGATAACAGAAAACACATCAAATATTTACTTATAATGAAGATAACGAATTACTTTTTTAATAACGAATTACTTTTATACAATAACTATACGGCCTGAAAAGTTACTAGGAAGTAGAAAGTAATTGTGGCAATTGGATGTGAGGGTTCTAGAAGTTTTGGTAACTTATTAATTCATTTTATGTAGGAAAAGTTACTTGAATCAGAAATGCAAAGGAAGCAATTGACAGAAGAACTCCAGAATGTCAAACAGGTAAGAGCATTTGTTATGTATAACGTCTCAAAAACACAGCATGAGGTAACAGTGCAGTGCAGTGAGTGGCTTTTTTTTGTTTGTTTTTTAATGTGATTTTTTGTGATTTGTGTTAAAGTTTATAAAGCATATTTTTGTGTTTGATGGGTTTTTTCCCAGTTAGTTCTATGTATTTTGCTACATGATATTGATTACTGCACATACAATATCTGATCATCCATTCATTACACAAGGCCCTTCCTTTCACCTATTCTAATATTCTTTGACTGTTGATTAATATTCTCTTTCTCCTTCCCCTCTTCCTGGCACTGATACTAGATTGATTCTCTCTGTATGTAAATCTTCCTCTAGTTTTTATAGCAGTGGCCTTTTTAATAGTTTATATAGTTTTATAGCAGTGTTTGTCCTTTTGTGACTGAATTCACTTAGCATAATGTTCTCTAGAGTCCACTGTGTTATGTAACGTTTTTGATGCTGCATTCATTCGTCAATAAGTACGAGAGTTGTTTCCATCTCTGTTGTTGTGACTAATGCTGTGATAAGTGTGGCTAGGCATATATGTTTGTATCACAGCTTCTGTTTCTTTAGAGGATAATCCCTAGTAGTGGCATGCCTGGATTGAAGGATGTCTGTTTTCAATGTTTTAAGGAAATACCAGACTGCTTCCATAGTGGTTGCACCAGCAGTGCATGAAAGTTCCAGTCTCACCACAGCCTGGCCGGCATTTATTTTAGCTGTCCTGTTGAACCTTGCAGTTGAAGTGCGCTCAAGTGATCTAGTGGACAGAAGCTGCACTGCAATGCAACTTCAAAGGCACAAGGTGTGAGGCCACGAGGCCACCAGCTGTCCTGCCAAAAAAGGATGGGCAGTCTTCTCTCATGGGATTAACTGCCTCTGAAAACCCGCTGGAGGGTCAGCTGTGAGTCGGTTCTGACTCTGTGGCACACACCGCCACCACCATTATTGCTGGGGCGGTGATAGCTCATTGCTCTTTTGACTCGCATCTCTCCATTGGCTAGTGATCCTGACCATTTCTTCATGTCTTTGTTGACTGTCTCTGGTGAAGAATCACTTCTTCTCTTCTGCTCATTTTATAATCGGGTTGCTTGTCTTTTCCTCTTTGAGCTGTTGAAGTTTTCTCTTAATTTTAGATATGAGCCTTGTATCAAGTAGGTCATTGTGAGTAGCATTTTAAAGAAATTACCAAGAAGAAATTGTGAACCTAGAAGACTGTGTCTAGCCAAGTAGATGTTCGTATGTAAAGGCCACAGTAAGTTTGGGATCCGCATGCCTGTATTCAGAGAACAGTGGACACCACATGGATTACCACTGAGGTGTCTATGAAAGGGTGGGTTTCGTCCAACCAAAAAATTACCACAACTTTGGCAAGAGCTTCCAAATATTGAAGACATTATAGAGGTGAGATTAAAGTGAGGATGAATTCATGATTAAAGAAATCATATGTAAACATTATCGTCCGAAAACAATACAAATGCCATTTTTAGAAAAGGAAAGATAAGAGAGAAGAGGAAGGAAATAGAATATGATGATTCTGTTTAATAAGTCAGCACACTATCAAAGAATGTAATTTAAAACTGATGTGTCAAATAGGAAAAGATTGAAAATACAAGGGAAAGGGGAGTACAGGCACTGCAAAGAGTTACCATGAAATGAAACCTCGGTTGCTGTGTGCCGCCGAGTTGGAACGAACTCATAGCTGACTCTCCAGTGGGTTTTCAGAGGAAGTAAATGGCATGGGAGGAGATCCTTCCTTCTCCCACAGAGCAGCCGGTAGATGAACCATGTACGTCTGGGTTTGTTCCTTTTGCATCTTTAATAAATTTATTTTTGTATTTGAAATGGTTTTATTTCGTTGTTTGATTTCTGTGTTGGATTTTTTATGAAATGTAAACCATAAACTAAAATAATACAAAAAATCCAAACCTTTTTAAATACCAAAAGGAATTTCTTAAAGAAGCGAAAGGAACACAGAAAATAAAAAAGCACAGCAAATTTAATATGAGCAGTGATTGCAATATAAAACAGTATGATTGAATCGAAACCAAACATAATAGTCATTGTAATTAGCATAAATGAGATTGACTCATATTAAAAATATAAGGTCTTCTTAGGAAAATATCACGGAGCAAAACTGATCTCAGTTGTTGTTGTTAGGTGCCGTCGAGCCATAGCGACACTATGAACAACCAGTCTGAACACTGTCCTATCCTGTGCTATCCTCACAATCTCTGACACCCTCAGTCAAGCCCCTTGCAGCAGTCTCAGGGTCAGCCCACCTGGTCGAGAGTCTAGGTGGAGAAAATCTTACAGATTCATTTTCATAGAAGAAAGGTTGGAACAGCCTTACAGGAAGGGACTATACCAGATGATTTTACAGAGGAATTTAACTAAATCTTTGGAAAACAACTATGAAACTACCTAAATCACTTCAGATTATAGAAAATGAGAAAATGTCTAAATTCTTTCTGTCACTCAAGTGTAACACTGGTCTCTAGTCTGATAAAAATAGAACAAAAAAGTAAAATGCAACCAAATTGGAGAAAGTAATAAGAGGCATATGCATTGTAAAATAAAACTACTTGTAGGTGACTTGTAACATACCTAGAAAATCCTACTGAATTGATGGAAAAACTTAATTAAGAAAATTTCAAGCTAATAAAAATTAATATACAAAGCTCACTTGCCTCTTGAATGCTTCATGGGGAAAAAGGAAACATCTCTCCTCTAGTGGAATGTCCAGAGCTGACTTAGGTGTGCGGAGGACTGCTGGACAGCGTTTTGCATCTATTCAAGACTGGATTGGACAAGAATCATCAGATGTTAAATCTGGTGAATTTTGATGAATGCTTTTTTTACTGTATCTACAAACCACTTAGTACTTGCAAGGGGGAAAATAGTAATTATATAGTAGATAAATAAAACAATACTTTTCTTGGTTTTTTCAAGTTTATTTTTTATAAAGTTCACTTATCACTGACAATTCATGTTGTTGACATGATGATGATAAATGTGTCACAATTTTCTAAGAATTAATGGTTTCATGAGATCAGCAACTGAGTTTATAAATCCAAATTTTAAGCCAATCTGTAATAAAATGACCACCGGACAGTGCTTCTCGCACAGTAGCTGTTCTTGTTGTTGTGAGGTGCTATACAGTTAGCTCCAAGTCATAGCAACCTATGTACAACAGAAGGAAACCCTGCCTGAGCTTGTGTCATCACAGTCTCTGCCACGCCAAGACCATTGTTGCAGTGATCATGTCAGTCCATCTCATTGATGTCTTCCTCTCCTTCAATGACCCTCTACTTTTCAGGTCTTCTGTTTCTTTCCAAGGACTAATCCCTCTTGATAACATGCCCCAAGAATGTGAGAAGCAAGTCTTACTAATCTTACTTCTCAGGAACACTCTGAATGCTCTTTTTCCAGCACAGATTCGTTTGGCTTTTGTCAGTCCATGATATATTAAACAGTTTTTCCAGACATCCCAACACAAAAGCATCAATTCTTCTTGAGTCTTCCTTATTCATTGTCCATCTTCACAAGCAAATCAGACAATTGAAGAAAAATACCTTGGCTTGGGTCATGCACACCTTAGTCTTGAAATGGCCATCTTTGCTCTTTAGCACTTTAATGATGTCCTTGACAGTCGTTTTGCCAATTCAACTCTTCTTTTGATTTTTTGACTGTCGCTTCTGTGGACGTTGATTGTGGACCCAAATAAAATGAAATCCTTGATAATGTCAATCTTTAATATGAAAGAACTAAAAGTAGCTCAAGTTTGAGGATAATGTTGTTGTTGTTATGTGCCGTCAAGTCGCTTGCGACTCATAGCGACCCTATGTACAACAGCCCTAAACTCTGAGAAGGAGATGAAATAAAAATATTTATGTTTCTGTTAACCTAAGAGCATTTTGTACCACATAGGAAACTTTTACTGAAGTTTACTTAAATCTCATCTAATAGAGAATTCGTCATCAAACTTTGAAATAATTTTCAACCTAATGAATAAAAAAAAGACACCACTTTTGACCAGTGATAAAACAGGATGTATTCAAAGAATACTAGATGGGGATTGTGTTACTTCAGAAGTGATGCCCTTGAAAGAACACAACCATCACTTATATAATATTCTGGTCCTTTTAATGTACAACCTAGATGTAACCTGAAGAAACATCAAATAAGCCAAAAATGAGTAAAAGCTCTTTGTTTTTTATCAGGGAGGGAAAGATATGTGTGGGATATATGCGTGGAGAAGTTGTATTCTTCACAAGTACCAATGCCATAAAAAATAATATTCCATATTTAAGGAGGGTATAAAAAGGAGCAAGAATTTCAGTTTGAAGATTAAGATATATCGTCTGATGCAAGCCATGCTATTTTCATTTACTTTGCATGTTTCTGAAAGTTAGACAATGAATAAGGAAAAGCAAAGAAGAATTGATGCCTTTGAATTTTCATGGAAAAGAGTATTGAATAGGTCATGGTTGCCAAAAGACAAACTCATCTGTTACGGGAGAAGTGCAATCAGGGAGCTCTTTGGAGGAAAGAATAATAAAACATCATCACACTTATTTGGGGCATGTTTGTCAGGAGGGGCCAGTTCTAAAAGACATCATACTTTGAAAAGTGGAGGATGGAGAGCGAACATCCCCTCCTCGCCCCTACCAGTTAGATCGGCACAAATGCAAGGGCTTGAGCACGGCTGAGATCTGATGCTGGGTAGGAATAGGCAAGGTTTGGACCTGATTTCCAGGGTCACAGTCAGATTTGACTCAAAATACAAAAACACAAATGACAAAAACACAGAGACTGAAAACAAGAGTTGACCCTAGACTGGCTTCTCTCTGGGTGGAGGAAAAAATGCTGTAAGGTTTTTTACATTATTGAGTCAACTGACAAAATTGACATGAAGGTGGTAGATGAGATACAGGCCTTGAAACAATGTTAAATTCCTGAATTTGAGAGCCGGACTGAGGTCA